ATTGACAGAGACAAATAATAAAATATAAAATATAATATAATAGTTACATAATATAACTTAAAATCATAGTTGAATAAATATATATATATATATATATGTGTGTATATGTATGTATATATATAATAATAAAATAAGAATAAAGCATAATATATTATTATTTGACATTGACATATGATGGACTTACATCAATTACATTTCCCGAGGCATTCAACACCTCCTATTTGGGGGTGCCATTAGCACTCCCCTATGGTTTTTCTTTTTCTTATTTTAGTTGGATTAGTTGTTGATTTTTTATTTTTTCTAATTTTGTTTTTGGTGTATATGATTAAGATTTCTATCTATACTATATTATAAAATATTTAATAAAAACTATCAGAAATAATTTTTTATGTATGAAGTATTATTTATTTATGTATATTACTTAAAATTCAAGATTACAAATAAATTATGTGTAATTACATCTTATTAAAACTTCACGTTTGAATTTGCGTAACTAATTACAGATAAATCTAATTAAATAGGAGATAACATTTCATTTTAAATATAAAAAATCTAAAATATATTTAGTATAATCATTAARTTCTAACAAAATACTTAATTATTATTTTTATAAAAATTATATTATTAAACAAAAAATAAAAAAAATACATTAAAAAATACACAAAAAATGAGAAATTTTAAATAGTCAGTTTGATACTAATATGAATATTTTTCTTTTAATTTTTTATGATATCTTCATATTTAAATTTTACTCAAAAATAAAAATATTATCGCTTTCTTAAAACCACATAAAATCGTATTATAACATCGATTAAGACCAATTATTTATTGAAACAATAACATCGAAATGTATCTCGCTGCAATTTTTGCAAGTATCCTTCTAATATTATCTTAAAACATTTTATTGATATGAATTTTGAGTTCGTTATTTCTCATTCAATTCAAATTATGTAAGAATTAAATGATAAATTAGTAGTTTTGATATTTTAATTATCAATGATTAAATATACGAAACACATGCCATGTCATAATATTTGATGCCATGTCATCTTTTCAAATTTATTTCTTTGATTTTGAATACGATGTGGAATATTAATTGAGGTTTGCATGGCCACGTCTTTATTTGCACGTCATCAAGATCCTTAAATAAACAAAAAAGTGTGTTTGAAACCATTAGATGATAATTTTGAAAGTTGGTTTCCTGATATAGGAATTAAGATAAATTTAATTCCATTTTAATACAATTTCTTTTAGATAGTGTCATATAAAAAATCTAAACTATTTTGGTGACGGTTTTTAATTCCGTTAAATGGATTTTTCATAGAATTATATAGGCTTTATGATATAGTATCAATAAGATCACAAAAAATATAGATTCGTGATAACTAAGTGGATTAGTTAACGGTTTTTCATCCGTTCAAAATTTCTTTCAACAAATGGTTGTTGACCGGAAAAATGATTTGAATCAAACGTCAAGCTTTTTGTTTAGATTTTTTTTGGGTAATTGTGGATTTTCGGATCAACTTAGACGCACTAAGTAATTTTTCAGACGACCACAAATGACGTGTATCCATTGCAGGTAAACCTCCATGACCACAAGAATTTTGACAGTGCCTAGATTCACACCCACGATATATGAGATTTTCCACTATATTCTGAGGCTTAACCAATGCACCATAACCCAGTTGGTTTTTGTGTTTATATTTACTTAAAACAAGATGAATCACCAAAAAAAAACCGAACTGGACAAGAGAAAGTTAACATCTCAATTATACTGACTAATAGTTCACCGCGGGTGTAATTTGATTAAAATTTAAGAAAATTGAAGTCGTTTATATAATTTTATAACAATATAAATGTGTTTGATGGATCTTCGGCCAAGAATCATCTATGGCTACAAATTGATTTTCGTTCGAGTTCAGACAATACATTTTAGTTTGCAAATCATTCGTGGAGGTGGTTTAACTGACCTACCATGCACTTTAACGAGTATCATTGGGTATGCATGTGCATATCTTGAATCTTCTAGTGTTAAAAAAATAAACACGGGGGAGACCCCCTATCGGGGTTGGGGTAAGTACCCCCCCGGCCCCCGGCCCCCGGCAAATCCGGATAGTGGCGCCCATAAGAGTCACCACTCGAATCTACCGACATTTCGAGACTGGGGAAGGCTTAGGAGGTCTCTCTGTCCTCGTAGTGAGCGATATCCGGGTGGGTATCACGAATGATTCCCCTCTTCTTTGTCTTGCAGCTTCGCCAGAAGCTACGAAAGGGGGGGGGGGGGGGGGGCTCGGCCCGGGAAGGGAGAGTGGTCGAGTGGTCAAAGCGACAGACTGTAAATCTATTGAAAAAACCGTTTTCCCGAGCTGGCTGGATGATTACTATGGAAGAGTTGGTGAACATTGTTCTGACTCATAGCTYTAATATGACAACTACTCCCGGTCTCTCTCTGGTCAATCCATGCTCTATTGTTTTAGGGGGCGTTTACCAAACGCTTACTCGGGTAAGCGCTTACTAAGTCATATTACCTTACCGGATGAATATGATAAGAACCACAAATTTTACTCGGTAAGAGCGAGACAAGGACCAAGAGTCTTACCCGGTAAGTGAGGGCGATGACTCTTACCACGGTAAGTGCTTACCATGTAAATTGTTGAATTCGATGTCATTTTGGTGGACTAAAATCTTACCCGATAAGTAAATGATAGAGTTAAATCTTACCGGTAAACGCTTATCGGGTAAGTGTTTGGTAAATGTCCCCAAAGTATCCAAAATCCTAAATCCGCTAGACCAACATGCATTTTGTATGTTTAAAGTTGGTACAGTAGTTCTAAAACGAGCTAAATTTAGGATATTTATGACGTGTTAAATTTTGAATAAAAAAACGAAGAAAAAATTATGAATCGAGTATACAATAGAAGTTAATTATGTAGCTTATCGTGGGAATAGTTATGTAGCTTGTTTAATTGTGTCACGTTAATCAATACATCATAAAATTATACGACGTATCAGATTTGACCAACGCGATAAAAGTCAATTATCCATTAAGCTCGGAAAAACATTTTAAAAAAGTTTGACTGTTATATATAAAATATAAGCAGACAATGTTATTGCAAATTAAACATGCTTGTTTCTAGTGTCACGGTAATTGAATTAACCCATGATCACCCTTCAAGCCTCAAAGGCCGCCTTCGGAAAGCTCTTGGAGATTCCGGTGGGTGTTTTCATGGTGATCTTGTTAGCTGGTGGACCGTCAACGAAGACCTCATTAACTGTGATCCATATGAACACCTCTTTGGATTTGATGCCAGTCATCTTCTTGATCTTGCACTTCTCCACAAGCCCAGTGACCTCAGTGGCATACGACACTTGCTTGCTAGCCTTCTCAAACTTGTGGACTATATCTTTCTTTTGTTTCAGCCACATAAATCCAGTATCTTTCACGCAACCGAGCTCCTCAATATCCTCTGCGGGCAAGAGGCCACTGGGAAGCTCGTATTCGCTAAGCAGAGACTGGATCTTTGCCTTGCAAATGTCATTCCCGGTGACGATTTCTGCACTTGCTCTAATCTCGGGGGTTACTGGAGACATCTTCCGGGTGATCGGAGTGGCGCAAAACGTAAGGTATTTGGTTTGTAAGTTGGAAGGGAAGAGAGGTGATGGAAGGGTTGTGACATTAAGATGGTTATTTATAGGTATTTGGTTAAATATGAGCATGAAGTTTGGTTTAATTAGAAAAAGCCCCATTCGCACATCTAATTGGAAGTTCATTCCTCTCAACAGTCTAACTTTTGTCAAGAAATGGTGAATAATTGATGCCATCGTTATTATAGAACAAACGTGGTAGTAAATTATTAAACATTTCTCTATAAAAAATTGATTTTTTTAAATTTAAAATACGTTTATATATATATATATATATATATATATATATATATATATATATATA